GCTCGGTCCACGGTAGTCAGCTCGAAGAGAAGATGATACAAACAAATGCAAATCATTTGCTCCACTGACAAGTGGTGGTACTGTAATGTCACCTTGAGAACTTAGTGAGCTGCGCCGTGCACAAAGTGAGAGGGTGACCTACTTTCGACGGACGCGCGCAACGGACGTTGCTCCTTATTACGCCGTCGTTCGGTTTGTGGAAAAGACAGCGAAAGCTCCGTGAACTTTTCACGAATATGCTGATGTTGGAAGTTTCGTCTCAAAGAAAATTTGGCAATCACACTGTATCTGAAGAAAAGCAGCTTAACTATGAAAGTCCCTTGTCCAAAATATCAGCCTCAACTTAGATGGTGCAGTACAAACTTGCAATTAAAGTTTTCACTTGTACTCATCTTTCGCAATAACGAAGCGTGTGAATTATGCATGTGGGGTGTGATTAGCTTCAGACCTGTGTCATTGTCACGATACTTTTTCCCACAAAGTACAGGTTTAAACTTTCTGTGACTTTTTAAATGAGGGTGGTTGGGCTGGATTGCAAACTTCAAGTCACTTCCACAGTTTGCAACCCAGCCCTACCACCCCCTCATTCCGGAATCCGTTTTTGAGATCCTCAAATTTATGCTTCACCTTGTCCATTACATATGATCCCTAACTCATCACTCGCAACATCTTCAGCTATATAAGCATTCATCAACAAGTCGGAAAAGAAGGGCTCCATCTGACTAGCTCCTTAACACATTTAACTCTGAAGAACACCACCGCACATTTTATCTTTCTCCACCTGTCATCCACTGTCTCTACTTGCTTCAACATAGCTCTTACCTTGATGTTCTTTTAGCTGTTGTTTTTTCTAAGTAAGCAGTGCGCGATGCAAATGTACTTGATGGCGAGTTACGGATAAAACTTCGGCCTTAGGTGGGACTCGAACCTGAACTCGCACTTTCCGAGCACCGTACCCTTCATCGCTTGCACTACCTAGATCGTGCTTGTCCCGAGGGCGGGACAGCGTGAGTAATAAAGCCCAAGTATGGTTTGAGTCTCGGTCGAGGCGAAAATTCTACCCACAGCTCGCATCCTTGTGAAAGCTTCTCGCCAGCTTAGTAAATATCCATGAACCATTAAATACAAACATCTATGCTTATTGCCTATAATTAGTTTATTCTCAGAAATAGTGAAGGAATGTTGTTTAGTATGATTCCAGTGCTTTCTTGGTGCTCAGCACCAATAACTCTGACATTTCATGGAACGCACTTTTTGCTGGGAATGTCGAAAGTTCAAACATTGAGACTACAATTTTTACAGGCATTTTGTAGTAATGTTCTTGCCCTATCACGTGGCATTCTAACAGTTTTCTTTAAAATTTTATTCTTTCTCAAAGCAAAGCGGCTCTCATCAGCGTCCTGGTAACGTGGTTGCATTGTTTTATTCTGTTAGGTCGGCCATCCCAAATTCTATGCTTATTTTTATTGTAAATCCATTTGTGAACATGGGCTCTATAAACATCGACTTTTGTCGTTGTTCATGTAGGTGGAGGCAGGCCAAAGAAGTTTAGCGTCGCCCTTTGTTGATTTGCAAAGTGGCTTTCAATGAGTGGTCTCACGATTGTTCTCCAGAATAAGGGATGTGTTTTTCGTACGACTTCGAAGAACGCATTTTTCGGACGTGTTTGGATCCCGCCCAACGACAGTTACCATACACACCAAGGTTGGTAGAAGAAGGGGTACCCGAAGGAAGGTCTCGATACTAACTGGACTGCCGGCCTACGATTTGATACCGCCACGGATCCGCCTTGAACTAAATCTCCTTGCTTATGCCACTTTTCCTGCAATTCCGGCAATCCCGTCTTAGCTAATCTCGATTTACTTCGAAATATTCCACCTGCTGCAACGCATTGAGAACCAACGCCATTTTTCAATGAAATGGACGCGATGATGAAGATACTTTGCGGATTAGCCTACCAGGACCTGGATTCGAAGCCCCTTCGGCTCTTGGTAAGTTAACACTGTAAGAGCTGTAGCGGTGACTCGGAGCGGCCTTACGAAGTGGGTCAGGACAATATACTGTGTAGCAATGTCCATATAAATCGGCAAGCAACGGCAGGGACATGATGGAAAGACTTTTATTACCGACAAACTACAACATAGGAATGCCNTCTTCCGTTTTACCTGGCTTTGGGGCATCCCCACATCTACAGGGGTCTCCTAGGTCAAGTGAAGTATGACAGATGAATTCGTCGATTGCTGAGCCCTGTTGCTATCCATCATTACTTACTCGGAGGCAGTTCCCAGTAGGTGGGCCATAATACAAAGCCCATAATCTGTATAAAAAAAGCTAATCTTCAACATGACTGAAACATCCCTTAATGGAAAAATAGAGGAAATTTCCTTAATTGTTTCCCAGATCTCCTATTCACCTCACTTTAATACTAGTTCATTAACTCTTCTTTCGGAACAGGCTCGTCCGCCATCAATGTAATCGTTCTCGATTGTTTCGCCTCAATCCCTTATTCTATAATTTCAGCTGGTGAAACTTGGAGCGATGGATCACAACAGCTCCCATCTTGTAACTGAACTCGTCAATATTTCGGAAAAAATTTGTTTTGCCTATTGGTTATTCACAGTGCCTTTCTATACATTTCTTGTGTGTGTAATGATTCGTGCTCAACAGAAAAAGATTCCAAATTTGACGAGTTCATTCTACAAAATTTGCATCGCCGCAGGATTTACCGACATTGGTAAGAATCATTATTTCATCCTTACCCACATTTCCTAGGAAACTGCTTAACCTCTTAAATCTTCAATGAAAGGGTTCCTCCGGAAGGGTAGAAAGAGCAATCATAGCGTCTCGATCGTATTCGCCCATTGTAGCAACCCCATAAAGGAGGGAATGCCCAACTAATCAGAGACGATCAGGGAAGTACTTAAATTTGAGGGACAATAAATAGCTAGCATGAATAGCCAAATCCTAGTAGGTGATACAAGGACGAAGGTCTGTTTTGATCACTCCATTCGACCCCTTCGCCTCCCATTCGCAACTTCTATGGTTTTCAAATGGGTAGAATTCATGATTGCCTTTTTGTAACCTGGATAATTGCTAACTTTTTATTATTTAATGCTTCTGAGCCGAGCAGGTGAAAGATTATTCGCCACAAGCTCCGACAAAATTCGTAGTTCTCGAAAGCCTGAAAGCATTCCGAGACTTTGGAGGTTCTACCTATAACGCTTGATCTAGACCAAATCTTAGCCGGCGATAACTCGGACCAACGGAGTTCGAACTTACAGGGATTTCCAATAAGGCACAAACGTCAACCCAACGAACCCGAACAGTGGCTCAAGAGACGAGCAAATGAGACGGCCAGTTGGCCTAGGCGAGTATTGATCCAAAGTTTGATCTAGGGACCAAGCCTGTGCTAACAGCGCTCCTCATCCTGCCCTTATGGATCATAGACTCGTTTTGTCATAAATAATCATAGGGTAAAAGCATATGTAGGTATTTGACAGTCGGATTGCCAGTCTCATGCACTGAATATCGTTTCCTTGTCCGAAACAAATTAGAGGCTTTTCAACTATCTCATCTATCAGTTTCTTCTGATATATTTTTACAGTAACGCTTCTCAACAATTACTTTGGTTCGGTATTTCCTATGTGGGGATGGTTCACAGACGTTTATATAAGTCTCGGGAAGTTCTATATATATACGTACCTAATCTTGACCTGGGGTTCAGGTATGTTTTACACAATCAGTAATAGTTTTTCAAACAATCACAACTCGAACTTTTCCTATATGTAGCAACTAGCACAGATGATATCGAGCTTAGTTGTTTCCCTTCAGAAAACTGATGTTTGTGATTCTTTGCAGGGATGTGCCAGGCACTTTCGGTATCAATCGCGGCTGCAAACCGTCTCTCAGCTATTATGTTTCCACATAGATATGCAGAGGTTC